AAAGATTGACATGAAAAATACCCTTTGTTTGCAAATTGTGTATGGATACTCTCCTTGTTTCAATTTATGTAACATTTTCATCTTTTTAATATATAAATTGTAATTTTTAACATTTCCAATTTCACTTTAAATTTGTTAAACTCGCTCTCAGAAAACGAAAAAAAATCACATAGATTTCTAAGACTGAGGAAGTATATTATTTTATAGAGGTTTCTTGTATGAAATAAAAGTTCATGAATTAACAGAATGTTGATAAGAATATTTAACACTCTAAGCAATCGTTTGGTTATAAAAATTAGGTGGGTTATTTCAGTATAAAATTATGATTGAATTTTTCGAATAGATGGCAGTAGATATATTATTAATCAATTAATATCGAGGTAAAATTTATAATAAAATCTTGGAATTATCTATCAAAAGGTGGGATTATAATTGTAATAAGATGGCCTTGTTTTGTATCAAACCGCCCTTAAAAGCAGGTCTAACTCATTTATATAATCTAGACAAATATTATAGAAAGTGAGTTTGGAATAATAACAAGGATGGGATACTTTGTTTTTCTTATTTTTACCGAACTTTTTTTATGAATCCATTTCGATATTCTAGATTCCACCTTAGTTTTAACCATCAAATATGAAAAAGAATTATATATAAAAATCAAAGGAATGATCACTTCCTGTAGTTGCAACTTGCACCACGTTCTTATTATTATGCCCATAGAATTATTTTAGGAATAATTTGTCTAAAACATAACCCTTGTGCATGCTAAGTAATAATTAATGAAATAAACTTTGGGTTAGGGTATATATAGGGGTAGGGTATAGGGAGACAAGAGTTGCAATATTTGACTGGCATTAATATATGGTTCAAAAATCCTTTTAGATAACTTCACTATCTTTTAGACCTAATTATGTCGTTTAGGAGGCTGGATAAATTATGACGTACTCTCCGTCTACTTTTATTTGTCATAATTTTTTTAGAGTTAAATTATAAAAATGTTGATCAATATTTTGTGATGTATTTTTTCATCATATTGATATGCAAAAAATTAAAATTTATAGTACTTTCGTATAATTTTTAAATATCTAAATTTTTTGTTTAAAATATCAAATTAATTCAACCTAATTTAACTTTGAAAACTAATCAAATTGACTTTCGAAAAATGCAACAATTAAAAGTGGACAGATGAAGTATATGATATTTGATAGGAAATGAGTATTTTTTTATGTATAAAATTAATATGACGTTTGGTTGATAGTTTATAAATCCACATGACTAAAACATGTATAACAATATAAGTCATGCAATAATCTATGTATTATTTTATGCGAGCTAAAAAGTATAATAACTAATACTACATGAATAATTAATCCATGCATAATTAACAGTTGCACAAAATAATACACATTATAACATCACCTCTAATTTACACCTTAATAATATTTGTATAACTCTAACCAGCTATCAAACGACGTAATAGTTGATTAGATATAGAGTTTAAGAAAAAAAAACAAAATATATTACCTAAATTATAAGTAAATATTTATGACTATAAATTATCTTATTATAAAATGAAAAACGTAAGACTTAGTCATTTTTTAAAATATAAAATGATATCAATTCTTGAGTGACATCAAATGTAACTGGTGAAGTAGACTCAAAGGCGAAGCTAGGATTAGGAGATTGGGGGTTCTAAATTTAATTAGAAAAGGAAAACTTAAGAAATACTTTTAACGATGGTGAGGTTTGAACCCACAACTCTAGCATGGGAAAACATTTTCATGGCCCCTTCCTTAGTCATCTGTCAATTTTGTTTTGAGGTTTCACAACTCTAGCATGAGAAAACATTTTCATAGCCCCGTACTTAAATCTAAGTCATCAACCAACTTTGTTTGGGAGTTCACAAATTAATACATACATATATGTTTGTTCAATTTTTCTAATACAAATATAGAGTCGGGTTCGTTCGACCCCAAACCCCACTCAACTCCGCCCCTGGAATTAGTTACTTATTTGAATGTGTAAGAGTTATTTATACATTTTCCTTGGTACCAATTTCCGTTAATAATGTTCAAATTTTTTAATTGATCCATTTTTTCTAATTTGGGAGCAACTGTTAGAAAGAAAGATATTTTTTTAAAATTTATTTTCTATTTGATAAGTTTTTGGATTTGAAGAAGAACAATCTTATGCACACAACTTGTATATTACATGTATATCACATGCATATCACTTATATATCATATGCATATCACTTGTGGATCATGAAATAATGTAATACACACAAAGTACATTGATATGCATATTACATACACAAATATATACATTAAGATGAACGCATCACCCTTTACACCACAAAAACCCTCAAAAAACACCTTAACACTATAACATTGCAAAAAATTATATCATGATTAATTTGCGACCTCGATAATTTTCTATCCAAGGTCATGTCCTCAGTTAATTGGATCAAAACTAATCATCTTTTCTCAATATTTCTCCAACCTACCTTACCTTTCCTGAATCTCACTACATTCAATCTCTCACACCTTCTCACTAGACTTCCGCATCTCTCATCTTTCATACTTTAGCTAAAGATATGTTTATCCAAATTTTATTCTTATATATATAAGAAAGTATAACTTACATAAATCCCATAGTGTAAGGACCTAAATTACATTCTATCCATGCTCTTTTTCAGTTTACAAAAATCCCTTAAAATCAATGTTATCTGAATACATAGCAAACAAGTCGGATACATTAAATTTGATACATTAAAACAAATTCAGTTGCACTTTTAAAGGAAAGAGAATATTAAAACAAATTCAGTTACACTTTTAAAGGAAAGAGAATATACAATTGAATGTGAGTTCCCCAAATCACGCTAATTTAATTGATTTTTTTAGTTTTAATTTTTTAAAAACTAAATAACATAAAGTTTCAAACAATTTCAATGACTATGAAAAAAAAAAAATAAAAAATCATTAACTAATTAAACCAACATCACAAAGAGTAAAAAAAAATGAAATCAACAATAGAGATAGAGTTACTAGCAGGGAAGCATTTTTTTCTGATAGAATTTGGCCGCTTCATTTGTTGTTGTTCATGAAGCTTGGAACCCGTTGGTATGAGATCTGGTTGAGTAGCTTCGCCGGAGTTAGAGTTCATATTTCGCTAAAACACCTACAAAATTAACAACTCATAAAGGGTGAGGGGAAGAGGAAAAACGTTGGTGGTCTCTGGTTGCTTACTCCGGTGGAGATAGTTGATTTCAATCTCTCCCAAATCTTAACAGATTCAATCAAATCAAATTCAATTTTTCTTCTCTCAATTCTCTTCCAAACCTGCTCAGCTTCAATTCAAAATTCAAATTTTCTTCTCTCAATTTTATTCCAAATCTGTCTAGCTTCAAACAATTCAAGTTTTCTTCTTTCAAATTCTCAACCAAATTGTAATAGATTGAAAAAAGTCAAAAACAATAACTGATACATAATGAATACATTCAGGAATCTGGAAAAGCAAGGTGAGTTATGAACGATACATAAGTGATGGATTTTAAATTTCTTCTCGAGTTCATCGAAGATCCTTTCAATTTTGTTAAGAAGATATTGCTGCATCTTTCAAGTTTTTTCTATAACAATTGTTATTCACCGTATCGTAACTCAAAAAAGATCTATATATCCTATGTCCTAATCAAAGCCGAAGGCTGAGTCAAAGTTGATTATACTAAAACTATTTTCGAGATGGATAGATTTGTCAATATATTACTATTTATGTATTTTGTTTAAATTGATAAGTGTTGTATTTTTACTAGATACATTAAATAAGAAATTATTGCCCATGCGATGTTACGTTTGAGATCGATACATTATTGTTTGATAATTATTATGTATCAAATACATTTAGTATAAATCCGAATTTACGTATCATGCTTCAAAAATTAGTGCATGATACATTATTATTTATGTAACTTATTTTGTTTGAGAGCAGAATCCATATGTATCAGAAATTTGTAGATGAAAAGGCTGATACATGATAAATGATACATTTGGTAGAGTTTTTGTATCAAGTAGCAATACTAATTAAGGTTATGTATCAAAACTAATATTTGAACATGATACATTATGCATGATAGAATTGTAATGTATCATAATGTTGAAACGAAGACAATATACATTAGTTTAAGAAACAAAATCAACTAGATACATTAAAAATCTGAACCTATATGTATCAGAAAAGACAAACAACCAAAAAATTGAAAAAAAGACAACAATCTAATCAACGGAAAGCAACGAAGATGTATCCTTCTCGCCCAAAAAATAGAAAAAAAGACGACAATCTAATCAACGAAAAGCAATGAAGATGTATCCTTCTCGGATTAATTGGGTAAGCCCAATACTAAAAGATCGAACCAATGGAATGAAGTATATCAAGACCATCATTAGAAATTTCTAGAACCATTCCAAATGCACTCTAAGATGAACTATTTGCATTAGCAACATTTTCCACCCCTCTTCCAGTAAAGAGTCCGGAGTAACAAATTCAATAATCTTTTAAGATGAAAAAACTAAAAAAAAAGTTTAAAAGAAATTGAAAATTGATGTGAGGGAAAAAAATCTACCTCTTGAATAACTTAAAATCATTAATTGGAAAGAGAAAATATTTGAAATTCAAAAAATGGATTAATGTAGGTAACTGTGGAGAGATTTGTGGCTTGAAAAAAGGAAAGAAAATCATGGGTATGACATTTCAAATTAATGTATCCGGAAAAGGGGATGAAGGAGCAAAAGAGGGGATTTTTGATATTTTTTGAAATGGTAGGGAAAATAAGAAAATATGATAATAAATGATGTGTAGTTAGGTAATTTTTTCCTATAAAAAAGTATAATCATTTTTCAATAACACAATGGCTAAATATTAAAGTATTAGCAGCCCACTATTAAAGATGGAAAAGGCAAGCCCAGAGGCCCAAACCATTTTTCACCAAAGTACTCTTTACCAAAATACCAATTCCATTTTCTTCTCCAAAACTCAAATCAACAAACCCTAGATTTGTTCAGCGAAGAAAGAAGGATCGAAGCAAATCACGATTCATAGTGAACGAAAATGGGGAAGCAACCGGTGAAGCTGAAGGCTGTTGTATACGCTTTATCTCCATTTCAACAGAAAATTATGCCTGGTTTATGGAAGGATCTTCCTGGTAAGATCCATCACAAAGTGTCTGAAAATTGGATCAGCGCTACTCTCTTGCTTGGTCCACTCGTCGGAACCTACTCGTAAGTACTTATTTATTGTGTTTTCGCTGTTGTTTTTCATGTATTTCACTTGTTTTTCCCTTTGGGCTAGGACCTGTATGGAGAGAAATGGATGTAAAGGATTTGTATAGCCGATTTAAGCTGATTTAGGTTGAAGCTTAGTTAATTGATTGTTTTTTTCTCGATTTATAATCTGATTAGAGCAAAATGAGCATAGGGGATTTTTGGGTACAATATTTTCGTTCAATATGGAATTTTGTTCTTCTGGGATAGGACCTGAATCGAGAAATGGATATAGAGAATTAAGTATTGAGGTATAGTTAATTGATTGTTTTTTTCTCGATATCTGACCTGATTTGAGTGAAATGTGTATAGGGAATTTATGGGGTATGGGAATTTGGTTCAATTGGCAAAGGTAGGAGGTATTTATCCATCAAATTTGGAAGCTGAAATAGTGGATTTCTCCGTAGTAAAAAAATGGATGTTGGGGGATTTATATAGCTTACTGTAACTAATTTAGTGTTGAGGTGTAGGTAATTGGTTAATTTTTCTCGAGATCAGACCTGGTTAGAGCGAAATGTGTATAGGAGATTTATGGGTGCAGGGCTTTATTGCAATAGGGGATTTCACTCTTTTGGGCTAGAACCTGAATAGAGAAATGGATATAGAGAATTTGTATAACTGATTCGAGCTAATTAAGTATTGAGGCGTAGTTAATTGATTGTTTTTTTGCTCAAGATCTGACCTGATCAGAGTGGAAATGGATATAGTGGATTTAAGGGTACATGGTTTTGGTTCAATTGGCAAAGCTAGGAGGCATATTGTTGAGCATAGAGATCGATATAGAGGATTTTGCTCTTTTATGCTAGGACCCAAATAGAGAAATGGATATAGAGAATTTGTATAACCAATTCTAACTAATTTAAATTGAGGTATGGTTAATTAATTACTTTTTTTATTGATCGCTGACCTCATTAGAGCGAAATAGATATGGAGGATATATGGGTACAGTGCTTTGGTTCAATTGGAAAAGATAGGAGGTATATTATTGAGTAGAGAAATTGATATAGGGCATTTCACTTTCTTGGGATAGGACCGGTACAGAGAAATGGATATAGAGATATTGTATAACCAATTCGAGCTAATTTAATATTGAGGCTTGGTTAATTGATTGTTTTTTCTTGATCTCTGACATGATTATAGCGAAATGGGCATGGGGGATTTAAGGGTACATATCTTTGCTTCAATTGGCAAAGTAAGGCGTATTATCGAGTAGAGAAATCGACATAGGGGATTTTTCTCTTTTGGGCGAGGACCCTGCTAGAGAAATGGATATAGAAACTTTGTATAACCAATTCAAGCTAATTAAGTATTGAAGCGTAGTTAATTGATTGTTTTTTCCCTTTAAATCTGACCTCCTTAGAGCGGAAATGGATATAGGGGATTTATGGATACAAGGCTTTTGGTGCAATTGGAAATGGTCGGTGGCATACTATCCGTCAAATTTGGAAGCTGAAACATTGGATTCCTCGGTAGTGAAAGAATGGATGTAGGGGATTTATATAGCTTACGCTAACTAATTTAGTATTGAGGTGTGGTTGTGATTGTTTTGATATGTGATATTCTCCTAAATAGAGCCTAATGGTTAATATGGGTTATCTATTGCTCATGGTTCAATTGGCATAGGTAGGATAGACCCTTATCCGTTGAGTTTGAAGCTGAACCAGTAGATTCCTCGGGGACATTCATATAGCTGACCCGATCTAATTTAATATTGAGGCGTTGTTGATTGGTTGTTTTGTATTGGGACTTTGACCCAAGTAGAGCCTAGTGACGTGAATATAGGTGATTTATGGATCCAAGAATCATAATAACATACAATACTAATCAAATTAGGATTTGAGAGATTTTATTGCATTGGTATTATATTGGTTTCCTCGTGTGCACTCTTCAATCTTCATAATCATGGAACTATGCCTATGCTGCTAAAGTTGGAGATATAGTAATTGCCAACGATCGAAGGATCCTTGGGTAATTTGTCTAATTCAAGAAAACTTGTTATGTCCTGAAGTTCTTTGTAACTCTTTATAGTTTGCTTTCTCATTTTATTTGAAAATAAGTGTGGCCATGAAAATGTCTAAGAATTAGGAAACATCCAAAAAACCCTCATCACTTTTCTCACTTTCATTATATTTTACTTTTCAAATTTACTGTAATTTGTTTTAATAAAAAATAAACCTATTTATAGTTCAGTTTTTTTATAGGAAAATTACATTCAAACAACCAAATATTATCAGCAAAAACCATAACCAACACAACTCCATCTTTAACTCCAACTCTAAAAATTTCAAAGAAAGTGATTTTTTTAATAGTATGTAGTAGCTTATATATGAAATCTAATCTATGACATTAAAATTGGGCAATTCTCCTCCCTTTGAGCTACCTTTTGGGTATGAGTTGGGCCCAAAAGCTAATTTTACAGTATTTTCAAAATTCCTAAATATTAGTCATGTTGATTAATACTCCCCTTGTCCAACAATAGTTGTCCACTATTGACTTGACACACCTTAAGAAACAATAAATAGTAGGGGTAATGTTACTATATTACCCTTTGATTATATACAATTTAATGCTTTGGAAAATGTATTAGATATTGAATAAGTATTTAATAGCAAGGGTAAAATAGACACAAAAGGGTAAATTATCTCTTGGTTTTCAAAACGGGACAAGTATTGTTGGACAACTATTTTTAGTGTAGTGGACAAGTAAAGGTGGATGGAAGAAGTACTTCCTCCGTCCACTTTTATTTGTTCACTATACTAAAAATGGATATCCACTTTTACTTGGTCATCAAAAAGAAGATATCCACTTTTACAGATTAGAAAATCAAGAAGTTTACCCTTTAGTTCCTAATTTTCACCCATGTTATTACCTATAGTCATTTCCCAATGCATTGAATTTATTATATTCAATGGGTGATGTAGTAAAATTGTCTTCTATTTATTGCTCCCAAGGGATGTGACAAATCAATACTGGACAAGTAAAGGGATTACTGTCTTGTTAAGGCTCTTTAAATTGATTTTTGTCATGTATGCTAGTGTTTGAGGTTTCAGTATGCATTAAACTCTTTTTTAGTTTGTCTTCTAACTATTTGCAAACTTGACGGAGCTGATTGCTGAAACCTTCATCATGTTTGGGCTTCTAAAATTTAGATTCTTTAGTTCAAATACTTCATCTATGCCATTTTTATGATTTTTGCTGGTTACAGAACCTACATATTTAGTTTGCCTTGTGGATTATATAAGTATAATGGAAGAGAACAATAAATAATGGTAAGTTGGTAATTAAAAAAAACAATCTGACCATGTTTAAATTTGAAAGAGATAAGTTGCATAATATATATAATTGGTGGAGTGGTGTCAATCATTTTCAAATTCCCAAATAGAAAGACGTCCTTTCTCTCAGTTAGGGCTTTCGGGGGGTTCTCTTTTTAGTTTGGATAGTTGGCTGAATAAATTTGTTTCAACCTCATCAATTACAAGATGCAATGAATTCTTTTGACAAGTTTAGATGCTGAAAATGCATATTACAGTCGCCGATATAATTAACACACACGTGTGTTTGTGTGTGTATACAAGTCAAAGAGAGCGTGGATCAGATATAGAAAACAAAGGAAATCTGAGCCCTGTTTTTTCAAAACATCAAAACGATCTTGAAAAAGATTACATTGAAACAGACACAATAAAGGGTCAAAATAAAAAACAATACACAAGCAACACGGAAGCAGAACTAGATTTGTTCTTGAAATGTTGTTTGCTTTTTCAATTGAGATGGAACGATGCTTTGAATCAAAGAATGCTCGAAAATATGGCTCTTGAGGTTGGCTTAGTTGATAACAATGCATGTATGATCACTCCCCACATTCTTTATGCATGCAGGTATGTGCAGCACTTCCTGGAAAAGGAGAAGTTAGAACACAGATACTAAAGCTGTGTTTTTCATCTGTCTGTTGAAGATCTCTATTCCATTTTGCAGTTTCAACAGGAAATAAGCTACTATTGTTGCATTTTTCGAATTTTTCATTTTGAAGATATTTACTTGTATGGCCCTTATAATAGCAATTAAATCTCTGTTAGGGTCTTTTGAAAGTCTTGTGCATCCAAAAGCTTATTCAGAAATAGTCTGATAAAATAATTTGTAACACATTTCATTGACTTGCTGTTAAAAGATCCCATTGTGATTTCACAATGAACAGTTTTCATTCAATTATCATGTGTTTCTTTTGGCTTGATTAAGAGTCTGAGGAAGTCTTGCTAATATTTATATTTGCACAATGATATCTGTTATATCTTAAGTAGTAAGTTTATATTTTAATTTTACTAGATCGCTTTAATATGACCCCAGAAAAGGATGCTGAATATTGAATGTTACGAAGGGCCAAACAAATATTACAATGCACAAAAGTTTCAACATATTATAATGCTTGCACATCTATTATTTGAGTCTCCAACTATTATTTCAAATTAATAAGATTTGTGAAGCATAACAAAAAGTTTCACCAATTGTTTTTATCTGTTTAATTTAGATTTATAGTTTTTGAGATATAAAGTTAGATGCACAGTAACAAGTTATTAAGAACTGAAAATAGCTTAATGAAATTTGACTTTTCTAGATCATGCATAAACAAGGAAACTTTACAATTGCCTTAATGGAGAGTCGAACAATTCTTTCTTTAATTATGACTTTTTCACATATTCTAAAATATTTTTATTTATAATATACAAGTATAACTTATGCTTTTCATATAATTTCTGAATTTATAAGTTTTGTATTTTGGACCCGTAGCATAATTTCTTACATCAACTAACTCTAAAATTTATCATTTACTTAGCTAATTGAATTGTGATCTATTTCAATTGGATATTTAAATACATGATACAATGTTTCTATTAGATATTTATTACTCAAAATTTTAAGAAGTTTTTATATGTGCCTTCAAGCGTTCATTATATAGATAGGTTAACCACTTAAAATATGTACGTATTAGCCTTATTAAGTTGAAAAACATTAGTCTTGTTTCACTTAAGACTGATATGTAGAACTAAAAGAGGTGACATATTTCATATCATTAACTTATCAAAATATCTCAAAGCAACAACATTCGCAAAATTTGAACAAACCATAGTTCGGGGATATTGGAACAAATATGAGGTTCGACTATTATTGCTCTCATTTGGAACAAATTGTAGTTCGATTAATACATGACATTTAGGGGTCGTTTGGTACAAAGATTAATAACGCAGGGATTAGTAACATAAGGATTAGTAATGCAGGGATTGGTAGTGCAGGGATTAGTAATGCAGAGTTTATTTTTATCAAGTGTTTGGTTCATTATTTCCCACATCATCTTGTGTTTGGATTAAAACTCTATAAAAAGCTTCTTTCCAATTATACCCTTGAATTATTAGGTAATTGGGTCAAAATAGATAATTGCCGGATAAAATTATTTTTTTATGGCCTTCTAACAAGCTATGAGAAGAACAATTTTGTTATCATGTTTGCTATTTTTTTCACTTGAATTATTTGAGGATAAATAATTGTCATCTTAATAAATTGATCACTTACAAAATGTCATTTTTCAATTTAAAAAAGATAAACCATCTACTTTTAAAATCGAAAAGACAATCAACAATGGTAAAATTGAATAAACCTCTACATTTACACATAAAAATTGCAAGTGGTAGTTTTAATATGTATGTATGTTTTAAATTTTTCAAAATAGAAATAATTAGAAAACCACACAAAAATAAATAAATATATATATATATATGTAATACATTCGATTAAGATCACAAACATCATGTACAAATAAACAACTTACATTTCAAATTTGTATTGGATTTATTTAAATAAATTTACTAGTACAAATATAAATCATAAAATCAAGAAAATAAGCAAAATAATTAAAATGATTTGAGGGATATTTTTGTCTTTACATAGACTTATCCCATGGTATTATATCCTATGTATTACTAATACCTCCAAATGGAAGGTATTAGTAATACATCCTACAATACCATGTAGGAGGTATAACTAATACATGGATTAGTTATACATAGGCCCAAATTCCTACCAAACATAGTACTAAACAATACCTTACCTAATTTATGAACTATTTCTTCTAATGCGGCCTACCAAACAACCGCTAGGTCGTTTGGTACACGAAATAAAGTGTGAAATATTCAAGAATTTAAGCCTGTGATAAAATTTACTATATTGCATTTGGTTGACGGAAAGTTATAAACTCGCCACTATAATCCAAGGATAATTTAATTTGCGCACCAAACGAACTGCATATGGTATACTCTATTTCCCCAAATAGAAAATAAATAAACCCTTTTGTGTGTGTGCACAAAACCCAAAGCTGTAAAGGAACACATACTGTTTTCCCTCTCAACTTTTCTCTACCTTTCAAATTTCAAAAAAAGCTCTCAAATTTCATCTTCTCTTTCTCTTCTACCTGCATTTTCAGCTCAGGTTTGATTATTTCTTCTCTCAAAATTTTATTTTTATCATTTGGGTTTTGGTAATTTTGTTCGGTTTTTTTTTTCTTGTTTTATGTACTATTTTTTATTTTTTGCTGTTCTTTAATTGCCCTTTTTTCTTCTTACTTTATCATTGTACTGTTAATCATTTTTTGAGGTAATTATAGGTAAATTTTTTGATTTAAGTATTAATTTAGTAATCTGATGGGTATCTATAACATAAATCCTTAATCTAATCTTGGAAAAGTTGCAAACTTTGATGAGGGGATTGGATTTCTTGTTCGAAAAATCGGTACTTTTATGCAGTGAATGCTGATTGCTACTAGGTTTTTTCTTCGTGCTGGTATTATATTATTGGTCTTTTAAAGTTTAAAAACTTTGATTGGTACTTTTATGTATGAAATGTTGATTGCTACTCCCTTTGTTTCAATTTGTTTGTCTGGTTTTGACTTGACGTGGAGTTTTAAGACGTAAATATGACTTTTGAATTTTGTGGTTTTTAAACTAAAAATGTGTATAATGCACCGAAATGTTTCTTTAATCATGTGGTTTTAAACATGTCACGAGAAAAGTTAGAATGAAAGAGTTGATATCTAAAATAATACTAGTAGTCACTTATGATGTATTCAAACCCCAACTATTTTGGAATTGAGGCATAATTGATCGATTGGTTTCTTCGTGTTGAGTAGAAGTCTAGAAGAGTGAAATGTGTTCAAATGAAACAAGATTCATATAGCCGACCCCAATTAGTTTGTAGTTGAGGATTAGTTGTTGTAGTAGTTACAGTTAGATGCTTCATTTTTACCATTTATGGAGGTACGTGGATTTTATGTTAAACTAGAGCTCGAGATTACTCAATCTTTGGGAATTTATATAGTACCACACTGCAAAGCCATTAGTTTAGGAATGTGTTGGTAGTTTAAGGGTGTTATCGATGTAGAACATTCTTGGAGAAAAGTTTGAATGCATTCTTGAGATGTTGCAGATAAAAAATCGACAGATATTTGACCTTCCTGTATTTCTATTGGAAACGACCTCTCTATCTCTACGAGATATGGCAAGGTCTGCATACATTCAACCCTCCCTAGACCCCACTTGTGGGATTACCCTGGGTATGTTGTTGTCGTATTTATAAATAGTAGAGGTTTTAAACATTAGACTAACTTATCTTCAAATTGGCGACAACTGTTTTCCGATGATTGGTTATCTCTATGCAATTAGCATGTGACCTACTTAATATGATTTGCAACATTTGGCGTTTGCTTCACATTTTAGCTCTGAAGTGCATTACAATAAACACCCTTTTCTTTTCCAGATCAAGGAGGTCTTTTGAGTATTGTAGTCAATGGCAAATGACAAAACCAACAGTTACGAAGAGGTCCGTAGGCAAAGGGTTCTGGACAATAAGAAACGATTTGAGGTAGTAACTTCGTTAAGGCACAACATCTTTTAGTTCTTTTGCTTGTACTTTTAGACTCATCAAAATCATTGTTGCATCCGTGTTGGATCTTCTAAAAATGCACTGCTTTTGGAGGATCCAATATGCACCAATCGGCATTTTTGAAGAGCTGAACAACATAGCTTTTGGATGCTTCTTTGAAAGAAAAATTAAGTGATTGAAGGCTTGCATGTGCATGATCTACTAGTACTAACATTAGGTGGCATTTGGATTTAGTACTTTTTAAGTTTTTGAAAACAATTATGGAGGAAAGTTGTATATATGGATATTTATTATGAAAAATCTTTTGGAGAAAAGTTGTATGTATGAATAAGCTCAACCTTTTGGTTGTATAAAACATATCCAAGCCTCTAATTGTAGTAAAAGAAATATGTTACAGAGTTCACAATGAAGCAATAACCTGCCAATGACATTTTGTAGGAATTATAAGATTTCCTTCTCTATCTCTTATTATGTTCCCTCCTTTTTTGAAGGATCTGGGGATTTTGAATATATCTAAAAACCTTTCTGATATTACAAAGTCCGAGAAGAAGTCCGACTATAAAACTGAGGTGAGATATTATGATCATTTCATTCCTACAAAGAAATACTGCAGCTCTTATGTAAGCATTGCATTAGCTGATATTGTTTTCTTATCACGAATAGCTACGCCGAGTTAGACAAAAAGCAAATGATGTTTACATGTCGGAGCCAAGAAGGTCTGCACGGGCAAGGAATCCTGTTCCAACATACCGTGATGAAGTAAGACTTCATGCTTTTCTTTCAGTACATAGTACATACTGGACACCACCTCATGGATGACACATGCTTCAGAATAAAGAGAAATATTATGAAATCTACATAGATTTATATATTAATAAATAAAAGCGAACCTCAAAGAGAAGAGTACAAGCAAGGGGCTAGGCTGACCTTACTAGTCCTACTTACTAATTAACAAGCAAGAAGAATATAAGATATAGAGAAAACTAAGTATTCTATGATCATCACAGAGTTTATAATGCACTCCATGATGCAAACAACTCTTCATACATAATCTTGATAAATATTTTTGGTGAAATCTCTTGGTATGTCCACTGTTTGTAAGTTTTTTCCTCTGGTTATCAGTTGTTTATTTCTTCACTTAGTTACTTATCAATTATCACCTCAGATTGATCTAGAGCTTCCATCTTTACGGAAGAGATCAAAATTCAACTCTTCATGGGCAAGGTGAGATGGTTTAATTTGAATTTTGATACCATTTTCTTCTGTCCGAACTCTGGAATAATTGCTTTGGATTGGCAGTTATCTAGCAAGACCATTGGAAGAAGTGAAAGTTGCTTCATATGAAGAGAAAGTACAAGCTTTAAAGTGTGCAGAAAAGCTCCAGAGTAATCTGCAGTCGGATAATCCATTTTTTATCAAGACTATGGTTCGATCCCATGTCTACAGTTGTTTCTGGTTGGTAAGTTGCCCTAGACTTCAGCTACTAGAGCTAAGGGAAGAATGAAAGAAGCAACAAAAAAAGACTCTTAACTTTGAGTATGCACATCTGGACACCTCAACTCATCTCCACTATGTCAACTGAACGCTCCAACTTACAAAATGATCATATATTACCTCCAAAATTTATGTCACATCAGCATCGGGTGTCCACAAGACACGGTGTGGACGAGTTGGAGTGTTTAGTTGTCAGTTGAGACCAAATTGAGGTGCCTTGATGTGCACTGTCTAAGTTAGAGTGCTTACCTGTGAGCTGAGCCTAAATTTGAGTGTTTGTTATATACTACGCGAACAAAAAAAAAAAACTTTTTTAATGCTACACTCATTATGGCCTGTCTTGCAATGATATCAGGGACTTCCTACTAGATTTTGTCAAGACCATCTTCCCAAATCTACTGTAGATGTTCTGCTAGTGGATGAAGAAGGTTTAGAGTATGAAGCTCTCTTTATCGGCAAAAGAACTGGACTAAGTGGAGGATGGAGAGCATTTGCACTTGATCATAAGCTGGATGATGGGGATGCTCTAGTATTTGAATTGGTCGAGCCCACAAAATTCAAGGTTGGATTTTGATATGCAACCCTCTAATCCGTTGAATAAGCTGACTTATAATGCATTAACTTGTCTCGTTTATCCTAGTTATGGCAAATCTGTAGACAAACAGTTTCAATTCCTTCTTTGCCAGTCCAGACTACCCGTTCCCTCAATCGTTCTTCTTTTTCTTAACTGAAATTAATCTTTTAAACCATTTTAAATCGATGACACATTTTCAGTCCTTTAATAACAAATGCTCAATTTGATAAGGTAGAGTTGTTCCATATAACGCTGTTTAATGTTATAATAGTGGTGGTATTCTTCTAAGTGATTTGAGGTACTTATTTCAAGTATTCTTATTAAGCCTAGGGTCTATTGGGAACAGTCTCTCTATCTCTACGAGGTAGGGGTAAGTTCTGGGGTACACTCTACCCTTCCCAACCCCCATTTATTTGTCGGATATCACTAGATATGTTGTTGTTGTTAATTCAGGTGTTCTTATTAGTTTAATAATGTTCATAGGTCTACATTGTTCGAGCATCCCAATGTTCAAGTGAAGTGGATAAATCTAGTGCAGAAAAAGGAGAGAGTGAAGCTGAAGAAACACCAAAGAGTGAAAGAAAGAAAAGAAAGAACAAATCAGAAGTTCCAACAATAGCTAAAGAAGAAGTCTCTGTAGTAGTGGCTTCAGCCACGAGACGCAGTAGTAGAAGAAAGTAAAGAAGCATCATTCTGTAGGCATGTGAGAAATTAAACCCTTTGTTGTGGGTAAGCATATCATATACTGAAGATTTTGCAAGACATGTTAAAATATTTGGCAGTAAATCTCATTTGCCAATAGCTAACTAGGCAACTTGCCCTAGAAACTCTTGACAGTTGAAGAAATACAACTGCAGCTCTGTTGCTCCATTTTTACTTTGCTTAACAATGCTCTTAAGCAACTTAGCTTGTTACTTTTGGAAGAGCATATTCGTTCTTTTTGTTCGGAATCCTTATCAAGGATCATCAAGTTGCCATGATGAGTGCTTCTTTCCAAATGTGTCCCTTCAAAATACTACTAAGCATCATTGGCATTTCGGTTACCTGTGCAGTCCTTCAATTGAACTTCTTGACTGGGCTTCCAACGTGCGCAACCCCGTTGTATTTGAGTAATCGGTCTATATGGTTGTGTATAAAATCATATCCATAGTCTAAAATAGTTTGGTTCCTGAGTGGAACCATTCAAGATAACACTACCATTGCTCAATAAATGCTGCAGTACTGATTAATCAAACCCAATGATGGAGCAAATTAAGATGCAGCTCACATGAGTGTAAGAAACGAAGTAAGAACGCCCAAGGACAGCAAATGTAAAATTAAACTCATCATTCAAATAAAAGCCAATCATTATATTTTGAAAGGTAAACGTTCAGAGCAGTAACAACTTATGTAATGGTTCAAAACTAGGACACAAAATTTCATTCAGCGGAAGTAGAAAACTAAAGGTACAGATTTGTAAATTTTGCAACTTCAATTCGCAGCTTCTAGAAAAGCTCTTCCAGGTTGACGTGCAGCAAGTCGTCCATGGCAGCCAAGAAGCTGCAAAAGCATAAGAAGCACTAAGATTTGATAAACAATTCTATCACAATGCAGCTTGTAATATAATTAGACTATTTATGAAACAAACCTTGGCGTTGACACCGTCTGGTACAATACGATTCTCAGATTTGTACTTCAGATAATCAGTACGGCTGAACTTAGTGAACCCCCTGCAATTAAAGCAAGCTCATAAGCACTCAAAGATGCAGTGGTACAAGCCTATAGAACAGATCCTGTTCTAGTAAGGCTGCAAATAAATATGCCGAGTATATTAAACATTAAGTTTTTGGAAGGAAGGAGATCCCCCAGAGATTACTCCCCCTTAACAATGTTTAGAAAAAAAGACCAAACGATGGTCCAGGGGACACAAATAACTGACATTGAGCTACTATGTGATATGAGTTGAGAATGTATCTCCCTAAACCAACTCAATGACTATCAAAGAACCATTATCCTACAGAACTGTATAATTGTCATAACAAACAAATAGCACAATGACAAGCCAATACTTCACAACCCAAAAAAATTTAGTAAGGGAAATTATTTAGCCCACAAAACCAACAGACATAAAAATAAAAGGTGATTAGTGAGATAAAAGTCATACCACTTTCTGCTGACAATGATCTTTTGTCGGCCAGGGAACTTAAACTTAGCACGGCGAAGAGCCTCTTGAGCATGGTTAGCATTGCCATCTTTGCAGCGAACTGAGAGCAAAATCTGACCAATAGCAACACGGGCACATACTCCCTGTGGCTTACCAAAAGCTCCTCTCATACCAGTTTGGAGCCTATCAGCCCCAGCACATGACAACATCTTGTTAATTCGCAAAACATGGAAGGGGTGGACCCTAACCCTGAGGTGGAAAGCATCCTTTCCAGCAGACTTGGTCATGTACTTGTTGCAAGCAATACGAGCAGCTTCAAGTGCCTCACTTGAAACATTCTCCTTCTCCCAACTAACCAAGTGCACACAGAAAGGAAATTCATCAACTCCCTTTCTCTTCATACCCACATCGTAAATCCTAATCTTTGGATCTGGGACACCACGGCAAAACCGTGATTTTGGGTAAGGCTTGTTCTTAATCTGGCGGTAACACCTTGCAGGTCCTGAGAAAAGATTTCAACCCAGTTAGGCACAAGCCTTTGTGATGTCAATACGAACACAAATACAAGTATCACAATTAAGGGTCAATTAATTGCAGCATCATATTATAGTTAAGAGCAAATAAGGAATAAAACTAGCTAAATCAATAATTGCCATAGCATATATCTGCAAGTTAGTGAAAAGTCTCCTCATCCATAAAGAAAGTTATATCTACTATGTAGTGCAGAATAACTTGAATGTGCTATCACTAACAAAGAATAATAAATGGTGGTGAACCTTGTCATACTTGTTTCTGTTCATACACAGCAAAACTTGGTGCATATTTCAGATATATTTTTTTATCATCAATTTCACCATTTACATAGATTCATCAAAAAATTCACACAAAAAAAGGAAACAAAATTTCTTTATCATAAAAAAACAGTATGGCAAACTGTTCTCTTTCACGATTATCCTCCACAAGGAGGATACTTCAGCTGTTTTTCAGTGTGGTTGCAGAAAAGGGTTCGTTTTGCAAGAAACAGTGAGGAAAAGAGGGCAAATTTTCTATCTTACTACCAATTTATCATTTCTAGGACCAGAGATCAATAATTGGCCTAAAAAGATACATCTGTAGCAACATCATAAAACTGAAGGGCAAAAATTCCATCTTTAAGCAACCAATTATATCACACGTAGAACTAGAGATAAAGTGATTGGTATCAAAAGACACGAATTGTAGAAACGACATGCAACTCCCACATATTTTATAATCTTGAATAAACTACCGAATTTTATCACTTGCAGGACTAGAGAGTCGAGTGATTGGTCTCAAAAGACAGGAACTCATGCAGCAACATCATAAAACTCCATTACTTATATACTCAAATACTTCAACTAGGTACTCTTAATATCTTTAATCTCTATATGAATACTAGTATTGGGGAATCTTATTAATTCAGCTAGTTGACTAGCTGAACCTTCAACTACTGAATTAATCTCTATATGAATACTAATATTGGGGAATCTTAGTAATTCAGCTAGTTGACTACCTACCTGAACTTTCAACAACTTAATTGGTCAGAGTTCGACTCCGCACGTTGTGATACTCTCCCACAACCTTTTTTTTAAAAAATAATCCAAATATCCATTCTCCTCCATTTGCGGCCTTTGGAATCGCTCAGCAATAACTAGTCTTAACAATAAACAGAGTTCTCTACATCTACTTACGTACCGAATCACACAAGGCAAAAGGCCACAAATCAGATGTATCATTTCACCAAAAATTGGTAAAACAACACAGAAGCCATGAACAAACAGCTAGATCTTAACAAGTTTTTAAAGAAAAATTAAGTATAGTAATAAGCTAAAATCGAAAAGATATGAGTAATTAACGTAAAATTGGGAGAAAATAAACTTACTTCGCCCCATCGCTAATTCTGTGTGTGGAATTGTTCGGCGGCGGCTTGAGAAAGAAGAAATTATAAGAAAACCTTAATTTAACGTTCTTTAATAGATGAATGAATTGATTGGGCCGCCTTATATGGGCTTACGTCTTGGCATGCGTCAGTAGAAGGTCGGTGGGCCGATTGCATTCAAACCTAAACTTGACCCGTTAACCACATACTTTTTTGAGAAAATTTTACATATAGCAAATAAAAATTGCTAATTGTATGCTATAGCAAACTTTGTAAAATTACAGTCCGTAGCAAAATTAAAGTTTGCTATGGACTTGTCTTTCTGTATATTCGCTTGTCATTTTTTTTTATACATTTTGATAGTTTAAAAAAGAAAAGGGCGTTAATTTCGATAAGAAAAAAAAGGAAAAAAATCACTGAAGTCACGCACATTCTGTTCCATTCGAATTTCCTTCCTTCTTCATCTTCTTCAATATTAAGAACTCCATTGTAACTCAATTCAGAAAATTGATCAAGCAATTGACGGTACTACACAAACAATCGAGATCATTGGACTGTAGAGATAGCAATAGGAGGTAATTTCATGACGAAAACATACTCTAATTTTGCTTTTTTAGGTCAAAGATGGTGTTCAACATGTATTCAAAATCAGATTTCCTTTTTAACTATCATCAATTTAAGTTGAATGTATATTGAGAGGTGTATATTTTGTTCGAAATATAGTTTAACACTTATCATTTGTATAGTTAATTTGTAATCTAGAAAAATTTGTGATCTGGAAATTTTCTGGATGAACTTGTTGATTATTTTGAATTTGTTATCGGAGATTTGCTCATTTCACAGTAATATTTGTGTTCGAATTTGTATATTTGCTTAGAGTTTCTACGTATAGGTTTTCAGATATGATTCAGTAAGATATGTATAATACATATAAGAAACTATTATGTGTATGTTTTATACAGTGCATCTTCATCATGATTTTGGATATATGACTGTTATACAAATGCAAAAATTTGTACTCTGTGAAAGTAACAATAACACTGCACTTGTATGAAATTGTATAATTGTGTATAAAGTTATAATTTGTGTATATAATTATTTATATATAAATGTATATGTAGAATGTGTATATAAACGTTTCTATGAGTATGTAATTGGAATATGTATATATGTGAATAACTGGAAGTTGCTAGAATTTGTATAAATATACGTTATGTTTGTTGTTGAAATTCTTAATAGTATAAATGTATATGTATATATAACTTTTTTTTATACAGAAATTTTGAAAATGGCTTCGTTAGCTATTTTGGTTATGCATTCCGGTAGATGGGACAATGACAATTGTTACGTTGATTATACAATTGAGGGGGTGATTTTTAAAGAAAGTTCATCGTATAAGGAGTTATATAATGTTATTGCAATGCAACTCGGTGTTGATACAAATGTGATTAAGCTGAAAATTGAGTATAAGGTTAAAAAAAGCAAAACGCCAATGTTGATTCACAACGACATGGGTGTTAGAGTGTATATCATGCTTAAAAAGGCTGCAGATGACTTCAACAAGTATCCAATTTGTATAAGCAAAATGGATAATAGTAGCAATATCACTGAACTATGTGAAAGTTAAAATCAGGAGAATGATATGGTTACATCAATTTGTAATGATGGTATTGCTGATTTTGAGACTATGCAGCTGTCAATTGGTGAATTGTTAGGGCCGCTTTGTGTCTTGGGGTCAGGGAGCTGCAATGGAGTCATTTCAGATCCTTGTAATAAGTACGTGGAGATTGACCCAGTGTATAAGAACAATGCCACTTTGAAATCTGTGATGGAAAATTATG